CCCCCCCCCCCCCCCCGGACCAAAAAAGGAAAGGCCCCACAAAAACCAAAAGAAAGGACCCCCAAAACTGGGTACCTGCCGCGTCTTCCCAAGCCTTCGATGCTGCCAATTAGCCCGGAAAGCTGGTGACGGCTTGGGTTTCCCTCTGTTGCCCATCGACGCGCTGAGATGTGCTGAGGTTCGCGGCCGAAGCACTAAAGGACGACATGGACGTAGTCAGCCGAGCTGTTCAGGTGTCAGGCCAGGGACTTCTTGACTTCTTGAGCTTGCAATAAACCGCAAGCGCATTTTTGGGCAGCCCAGATAGCGTGACTTTAGTGCGTTCAACCGGTGCGATAGGTTGTGCTAGCAGTTCTGGGAAGATGCAGCATACAAAGAGCGCAAAGACTGTGTGAAAGCCTTGCAGGCCAGGCTCTCAAGCACGTCTCGGCGCGTCTGCGCAACTCAAGAGAGGCCGCACAGACTCTCATTGGGCAGAAGTAATTCATCATGTCTAATCATTGCGCTCTCGATTCTGCCTGACCTGCGACCGGGTTATTTGCCCCTCGAATCGTCTCAGGTGGTCGTGCTAGCTGCCCGCCAGCATGCCCAATCCTTGCAGCACGCATCGCTCCTTCCCGGCAAGCGTAAACCGTCAGAGCTGTCGCTTCCGGCTAAACTTGTGCGGAACTTCTGCGATGTCCGCGAACGATCGCCTGCTGCAAGGCCAGAGCTTCGCTCAGATCCGGACACTGTAATCGATGCTGTGTCCGCGAGTTTCAAGGCAGGTCTGAGCACATAACGGTTCTTGGAGTGCTGGTTTGGGCCGGTTGAGTTCTGCTTCCGCTTAAGTTTGCACTCACGGCGGTGATTTGTTGAGTTGCGCCTCAGGCCTTCGAGTTTGCCAGCCCGGAACTTCGAGCTGAGCCGAAGGCAGATTCATGTTTATCATGTCATCAGTTTATGTCTATGTCTGAGTCTGCGTACCGGAGATTTGCTCCACAGTCGCACAGAGCACAGCAGGTAATACGGTGTGCAGCCAAGCAGCTACTCTCCATGCATGGCATCATCGTCCGCACTGACGCTGAGCTCCTGGCTTGCATAATCTGTGATGCCCTGGCCTTACACGTAGCAGATCCAAATCCAGTCCTGAAGGCTGCCAGAAGCCATCGAGCCTTCGCTGCAGAAAAAGATGTTGAGACCTTGTCAGTGCTGCTGTGCAACAAAGCTGCGAGATTCCCGTGAGGAAACCAATGTCTTGCTCGTCTCAAAGGAGCCTAAGTTGGCCATGTATATCCATGTACCGTGAAGCAACATCGAGCTGTTCTTTCCAGACTGCTTCCGCACAGCGCTCGTCAGTCTCTTGTGTTCGTGTTCGTGCCGCAGGAGTCGGGTCAACATTTATTGGCTGCTCTTCAGACGGGACTCCTCACAACGAGGACATTTGGCTTGGATCTCAATGCCTCTCCCCGGACTTCTCAAGGGATCTCGCGCTGCTGGAGATAAGCTCAAATTGGATTTCCCAGGCTTGGCAGTTGTGCGCCACGATCCTCAGCTGTATCGGCGTCTGGAGGCGGCCTGAAGCAAGCCGAAAAGGTCAGCCCTCGGTTGGAGGCCCTGTCATGTGGCAGACGCGGCAGGAGCATGTCAAGGCAGACAAGGAGGTATCGTTGGAGGCCGTAAAGCGGCTTCCAGACTTGCAACTTTGCAGCAGGCAGAGGCGCAGAAACCGGCAAGATTTAAAGCTTACCTGGCTCTCTGAAAGGCATGGTGTGTAAGATAAGGTTTCCAGACATGCCCTTCCAGACTCGAAATCAGCTGGATGTCCAGGCTCCTCCTGCCGTTTCTGAATTGGAGACTGTCGCACGTGGTAGATTCTGGTAGATCTGTTTCGAGAATCACTCGTCTCAGCCAGGTGGCAGCAGTGATGCAGAAACCTGCGGCTCGGCAAATTCGTGTGATGCGATTCAGCAGTGGATGCTGCGATGACCGGTGGTCTTTAGTGCTTGCCGAGGAGATGATCAGCTTTGTTTTGCCGACGGATGCCCTTGGCCTCGAAGGGCCAGTAGTTACAACTCTCATGTAGATGGTGGCAGGACGTCCATCTTTGCCAGTGGGTGGGGCGGCATATAGCCCAGGTCACCCGCGTGCAGAGGGCCGTGGCGGCCGTGGCGGCCGTGGCTCAGGACCGGGGCCGGGAGTGGGGTGTACACAGGATGAATGAGGGCCTCAAGCATATGCATGCTATGTACACACATGCATACATACACACATGCGTAGATGCAGGCATCCGCGCAGCATGCAGCTACACACACGCACACGCACATGTATATGTGTGTGCATACACACATACAATTGTAGATCGCATGCACGTGTACGTATACACATGTGTGTATGTGGTTGTGTAGGTAGGTGTAGATAGGGATGTATCTATATGTATGTATGCGCATGTATGTGTGTGTATGTATGTGTGATTATGTGAGTGTTTGTTATATGTATATATACACAAGTACAAAGGTGGGGTTCTTCAGGTCAGTGATATAGCTCGCCCCGTAAGTGTATGTTTGAAAACGTGTAAATGTATTTGTGTATGTATGCATGCACATATCTATGCAACTTAATATATTGCAGGTGTGTATGTATTTTATGTATGTATGTATGTATGTATGTATGTATGTATGTATGTACGTATGTACGTGTGTATGTGGTTGATAGTTCGGAGGTACACTTGCTTGTACACAGCACATGTTGTGAGTATCCCCATGCAGGCAAGGCATCCGGGCTATGCGTCAGTGCAAGCCAGAGGCTGAGACGAGTGATGTAAGTCTGCCTGTCGATGCTTCAACCTCTTGCGTAGCTGAGTTCAGCAGCACTAAGGTGCTGGGGCAGTGAGCTCCGGTCGCTGCGACTACCGCAAACCCTGTCCGGTTGTACCGAAGCACTGGCAATAATTTGGCGGCGGGTGGGTCAAGTCGCAGTGCTGTCGCAGCCAAGCCGCTGCCAAAGAGCTTTAACAAGATGCAATTGCTAGGCTACCCTCACTTAGATTATTTGTAATCCTGGTAATCCTTACCCTTCAGAGAACGCTCTTTTGGCGCGATCCAGTTGGCGTGGGATTCTGGCTGGAGCCACGGCCCCCATCGCGTGCAATCGAATATCGTGTGCTGGATGGGCACAGTAGGATGTGTTCGGTAGACAACAGCCGCGATGTGTCTAGCTTGATGGCCGAGCCAGAACGAACCCCTTGCAACTATGCTATTTGTCAATGGATTCTGGCGTCGTTTGGGAAGCCATGCCGAGCCGTCGGCCAGGCCTTGTGTGGCCTTGCAGTTACTAAGGAGCCCGGGGCCGTCAGTGTGGGTAAAGGCTTCATAAGCCCCCTGTTTGCCACGTGAATGTCTGAACTTAGGTCCAAAGGTTCATGGACATACGACTCGAGATAGATGTCGGATAGCAATTCTACTTTGCTTGCGGCGCCAGAAAGCGCATTCTGGCTTCGCTCACAACTTTTTGTTCAAGCTTTCTGAGGGTTTAACCCACAATGAGACATCAAGGATTGTTCTCGGAAGGCCCCGGCAAAATATCGACCAACTCGGAGAAGCATTAGCGGGCATGGGAGAGGTCCTTATCTTGCCGGGAGACCGCCAACATCCTCAGAAAAGAGACAGAGAGAACTTGGTGCTCGAGGACGGTGGAGCGAGGTTCAATCATGAAGAGGCCCCATGCTGCCTATGGACTGTTTGTTGGTTGAAGTGAAGCGCCAAAGACTCTCTGCTGAAGATCTGGAGATCTCCATCCCTTAAATGGACATCGAGCAGATGGGGGTACACATACGGATTGGCTTGGCCACGCAGTGCTCCTAGCTCACGAGCAGTAGCAGTTCCTAGCATCGTAGCTGGAGGCAGCTCTGAAGTAGTCGACAGGGGTCAATCCGGCCTGAACAGATTTCCACCTGTTCGTAACATGTTCTCGCAGGGAGGCTCTGCGCTCTGTGAGCTTTCGGGCGCTTGCCGTGAGATCGCACGATCGCTTGGGTCAGCCAAAACAGAGTCTTCGTCAGTATTTTCGAGCACTACATCTCCGTGCTTAGCTGCTTCCTGAATCCAGGTGGCCTGTCGCTTCTATCTGTGCGCATGTGCAGGAGATGCAGTTGTTTACTTTTCTGCACGGGCCGGTCATTGTCGTGAGTTTCTCTGGGGTGCCGATTCCAAGGTCGACATCCTGAACTACAGGTTCGTGGGCAAACGGCGTGCCTGTCTAACAAGCAGACCTGTTTTGGTCATTTCCGGCCGTGTTCGGCAAACCTGCGTCAAATGCTTTGATCTTGGTTCCGAGCTGAGTTGGAAAAGACCAGCTTCATTTGCTGGATGACTCCGTCCAGGGCTACACGTCCAATTCCACGTGGCAAGCCGGCACATCACAAATTGGGTTTGTATGTGCCGTCCCTGCGTCCGGCTTCAGCTGTTCCACGGTGTACGCTTTCAATGTGTGGACAGTTATGCTAAAGTCTGTGGTCGCGGCCTCCATGTTTGTCATGGTCAGCCAATGGTAGGAGGCGACTAAGATCCAAAGAGCAGTTTTCAGTCTTTTATTTCTCCGAGCTGATAGATTTCAAAGCTTATATGGGAAGATCGGAAGCGAGAGCCTCGGCATGAGATGGTGTCTGCTCTGGCTGGCCCTGCTACCGGGTCTGGGAGCTGCCGCTGTTGAGGCTCGTGCAGGGCTCGTGTTTGCAACCTCGCACAGACCTGCAAAGTCTGCAGTGTGCGACCAGCACGCACTACCGCTGTACCACCTTCGGTTGGCCATGTGAACTCGACTCCACGTTTAGGCGACTTCTAGCATCCCGTATCGGAATCATGGCTCGCGCAGAAACTAGAACGAGAAGGAGTTCGGTCCGTGTAGATGGTCTGTGCGGAAAGGCCATGTCATGCCACTATCAACTTGCCGTAGCTTTCGATATGCATTTCGCACAAATGACCTAATAACCCAATATTCAACCTAGATGAAAATATCGCCTGACTCTGGCATGATGCTTCCTTGGGATGCGCGACGACTCTTGCATAGCAAAACCCTAACATCCGTCTCTGTTCGGTGGGTGCGACGTGGAAGTGCGTGGCGTAAGCAAGCGCCCCCAGGGTTCTCTAGGTGTACGGCTGCGCAACCTCGATCGGTGCGGCCTGCGACCTTCCGCCAGGGAGGTCGTAGAACTGACCTCGAGCCGGGCCATCATGCATCGAACAGTCTGAATGCGCCATCTCATTGGACATGCAACCCCTTGGCTCCCTCTCAACTTGCGGCCGGCTAATGCGCGCCCAGGGATGCAGACTGAGCTGGCCGACTCATCCTGTGAATCACAACCCAAGTCGCTTGCAGCTCCAGCCCCGGTTGCACGTGACGCAGCGGCATCAACGCGAGCAGTCAGAGAGGCAAGTGTATTGTCGGCCGAACCCTCTTGTACTTCACGATAGGAAGTGAATACAGAGTCAGCCAACGTCATCCGTGATCCCTCAGGCTGAAACTTGTAGATCTTGCGTTGTGAGTTGCTACACTTGTCCCCCTCCTTGCAATATTACCGGTGCAGAAAGGAAAGCCCAATCAATGAGAAATATACAGCCCACCTCGTTTGTCACAGTGCGAGGAACAGCGAATCCAGAAAGCTGTCTCACCTGGCGGCACCCGAAGTGGAATCCACCGCATTCGAGCCTTTGCAGGGAGAGCCCTGGTTTTCCGCCGACTACGAGCTACAGCCTGAGTATCGGTGGGTCCTTGGACGCTGGCTGTTTTTCCTTGGGCTCTTGAGTGCGATGTGCGATTTGGTCCCCAGCATTAGGCAGAACACTAGGAGTAGCATGAAGGCCCAGAAAACCGCTCAGAGTTGATATTGGTGGACGGGGGAAGTGTTGCTACGTGAGGTACAACTACATCGAGAGTTTAGTCTGGCGCTGAGACGTATCATCTGTGTCTCTTAGACAGGAGGCCTGAGGGAGCAGAAATGGGCTGGAAGCTACAGGTAGTAGCAACAGGCCATTGGTGCACGGAGCCTGAGGTCTTGATTGCTGTGGTCTTCTTGGAGTTGGTGTGCCGTGGATGGAAAGGGTTCACTGTACCGGTGTGGGGAAATGGCCAAAGCCGGGTCGGAAGAGTCTATACGAAGAGTCTATACTGGCGTGTAACAGTGTAGCAGACCCCAGTGTCCGGAATCAGTCCCAGATCCCGGCCTTCTCTCGTGGGTGTGAGACTTCGGCCTGTAATTTCAGGTTTGAGGTCTCTTGGCATCTCCTTTCAGCTCCTGCCCCTTGGCGGACGCAATGCTGCTTTCACGGATGCGCTGTTCAGAGCGGCATGTGGGTCCGATGTTGGGTCCCCCATATAGTGCGGCACCCTTATAAAAAGGACCCTAAAAGTACCCTTAAGGTAGAGAACTACCCATGTGTCTGATGATGGGCCGTCTGCATCAATGCTCACCGGAGCTCTTAGGCCAGAAAGTCGTTCTACTATGGCCAGCTGCATGAAGCCGCTTATGAGCCCGACCACCGATCCGATGATGAGCTACCTGACTTGAGCCAGTCACTCCATCCACTCACTTGTTGCCAAACGTTTTATCATGCGGACGAGAGCGAGTCACCCGCCTGAACTTCAGTGGCGATGTTGTGCAAGTTGAGCACACCAATCCAGCTGTTTCTTTGCATCATGCATGGTCAGGTGCCTGACCTGAATCACTTTTTGGCGCGAACACATTTGACGCTGTTTGGCTGTAGCTGTCCTGTGACAGATTCTCCGTCCTGGCAGTTTCCTTTTGTGGAGCACCCCCAACTGCGACGTTGGCATTCATGCTTGCGTAACCTCTCGCACGGTCGGGCAGTCGTGTTTCTGGATCTGCCGCAAGCATGGCGGCGGACTGCCTGTAAGGTCTGGGAGAATATCACACGTGCGCCTGTACCAGGACATTCTCAGAGCACACGTCCCATGAGAAGCACAGAAACCAGACCTTGTCCGGCGCGAGACGGAACGAGGAGTTCGCCAATCGCATGAGCAGCGAGTTTATGTCCTTGGGCTTTTTAGCCTTCATGATTTTTTGCCAGAGCCTAAGACGAAGACTTTAGATCCGCTGTGATTTGAATTTAGAGCCAGCCGGCTTGCTCGGGGTGCCCTCTCAGGTTCCAACCAGCTAGGTGCTTTCGATTTCATGGCGTCGACGCTACACTCGTGCAGCTACCACGAGTACAGTCTCCGGGTGGCACTGAGCTCGGCTTCAGTGCCTTCAGGCTTGGCAGCACGTAGATCTAAGGCGATGTCTTCGGTCACGGCCATGAGCACAGCGACAACTCGTCAGGCTCTTCACAACGGAGCCATGCAAGAGCTAACAACATCGCCTCTAGAACTTGCTTTGAACGCTGCAGTAAAT